TGGACACAGTAAAACTGCCCCATTAGGTCTCCAAGAGTATAATCTTTATGGAAGCAGAATGCCATTATCTTCCTCACACAGAGCCACTGATGGATTTAAACCACTGGCCATTTTTTTAGGAGCTAGGCACTTACCCACTCCACCACCAGTGTGTTTTCGGATATTCTTTTCCAAAACCAGACCAAACCTGTTGAGTCAGTTGGAACTAGATGGAGGTAGTGGTCACATATCATTGTTGTTATTTGATTCCAATTATTCTGGAAATTTATTTTGTTTTATAAATTTTGTATAATATATGCATTTTAAAAATTTGAATTATAATCACAGAACATAGAGTGAATCATTTACATTTTAAATGCATATGTTGTTGTTATGTGTCATCTAGTCACCTGTGACTCATAGCAACCCTATGTGCAACAGCCCTAAACCTTTCTCTATCCCTTTCCAATCTTATTGTCTCTGGCCCACCTATCCCCGTTGCCCCGTGACTGTACCCCAATGACTGAATCAATCCATCTCATCGAGGGTCTTCCTCTCCTTTGCTGTCCCTCCACCCTCCCAAGCACAACATCCCTCTCCAAGGACTGATCCCACCTTGCAACATGTCCAAAGTATGTCGGATGAAGCTTCAGAATCCTTGCCTCCAAGGAGCAGCCCCACTTCACCCTCTCCTGGACGAACTTGTGTGTTTTCCTAGCAGTCCATGGTATATTCAATACTCTTCTCCAGCGCCACAGCTCAAAGGCATCAACTCTCCTTCTATCATCCCTAGTCATTGTTCAGTTCTCTGATGCATAGCAAGTAATTGCAAAGACCATGGCCTGTATCAGGTGCACTTTAGTCTCCAGACTGACATCGTTGCTCTTCAGTACTTGGAGAGGTCTCTGACAGCCGACTTTCCCTATGCAATTCATCTTTTGATTTCCTGACTGCTGGTACCAAGAATGTTGATTATAGAGCCAAGCAAACTGAAGCGGTGAACAATCTCAATCTCTTCACCATCTATCATGATGCTGCTAATTGGCCCAGTGGTGAGAATCTGTTTTCTTGATGTTGAGCTTCAATCCATATTGAAGGCTGCAGTCCTTGACCCTCTGCAGCAAGCACTTCAGGTCCTCCTCAATTTTAGCAAGCAGGGTTGTGTCATCTGCATAATACAGATTGTTGATGAATCTACCTCCAATCTTGATACCACACTTCTCCTCATAGAGTTCAGCCTCCTGGAAAATCTGTTTCACATATAGATTGAAAAGATACAGAGATAGGTCACATCCTTGACGCACACCCTTCACAATTTTGAACCCTGAGTATTTCCTTGCAGAATTCTGCTGAAGATTAACCAAAAATGACTGGAAAACCACATCAACAGAGAACTTCCTGAAATGTAGGTTGGGTTTAGAAGAGGCTGTGGCACTAGGGATATTATAGCTAATGTCAGATGGATCTTGGCTGAAAGCAGAGAGTACCAGAGGAATGTCTATCTGTATTTAATTGACTATGCAAAGGCATTTGACTGTGTGGATCACAATAAACTGTGGGAATTCCAGAACACTTGATTGTGCTTATGCGAAACCTATATTCTTGGACCAGGAGGAAGTTGTCAGAACAGAGCAAGGAAACACTGCATGGTTAAATTGCATATATTATACAAAATTTATAACATTTCTATAACCAAATAAGCATAAAGCAAATTTCCATAAATAATTAAGTCAAATGACAACAAAAATGAAGACTGGACAATCATTAAAGAAAGTATATGTACAAGCTATTTATATTATTAAATGAAATAAAAGGGAAATTTTCATATACTTCTACTTGTAAAGAAAAAGATAATTTCTTTATGTGTCTCATGGTAAAGTAGTTCTAAAACAAAAAAGGAAAGGAGACAAATATCAGGAGGAGATATATCATGTACCTTTTGAATTTGATACTATATAAGTGTATGTCTACTTTTAAAAATTAATTCATTTTAGTAGTTGGAGTAAAATAAATACTAGGGCCCTTCATCAAGAGATCACATCCAAGTTATTCTCATTTTCCCTTGTGGCTCCTCTGAGACTACCTAACTGTACCTCTGGTAGAGACCGGTTGCATTTCTTACTGTCAAATGAACTCCATGGCCCATTCTTCATTTCTTGCCATTGTCTAGAAGTTTTTCTTTGATTTAGAACAGTCTCATTTTAAGTCACAAATAAGTACATCAATTCTAACTCAATTGTTGGCATTTGCTTCACGTGAATTGGTTCTATCTTTGAAATGTTTTAAGCATTTTGAGAGCAGACTGGCCACATGACTCTAATAGCTTTGTATCCTCTACACTGGCTAGCTTAGGGCCTGGCACATATTTGAGAGCAGGCCACACCCACTGGTAAGGCTAAAGGAAGAACTAAGTGTGTCGCCTCTTCACTCACCAGAGCAGTGTGTAGGAGGCTTGAGCATTGGGGCTAAAGTAGAAAACACTTACCCTGCCCAAAGACTTATAAACTGAGTTGTAATTAAAAAGGGGGGAAACCTCCTTGAGTCAAATAGGGTAGATCCAACCATGAGTAGTTTGTAACCCTTAGTCAAAAGTGGCCACCACCCCATCGCTGAAGCCAGTAATCTTCCTGAGCAGGAAAAGCTATAACATCTTATAAAGGAAGGCAGTTCTGGGAAAATCAGACCTGGACAGGCCTCCAAAAGTGAGACTCATTCCTATGCATCTATAGGAGTGTTTACAGTGTCTTCTCACGATCACAGACTAAAGTCACCCCTTCCTTGCTCCCAAAATGTCATTTCGAGATACTGATATCTTTATCTTTTCCTATCACATCATCCTTGGTCCTCTTACCATATCTCTGATTACCATTCACCTATTGTAACACCAAAGTTTTTCATTTTCAGGTCTTAACCAGATTCTCCTTTCCCTAAACTCTTCTATGCTTTTCAGGTATGTTATCAGTATGAGTGAAGGGATTGGTGGAGCTTCTTCTGGCCTGGTTATTCAGTCTTATAAAGTGCCCTGGGTACTTAAACACTCAACCTCTGGGGATAGATGGCCAAATTATAACCATAGCAGAGAGCTGAGAAAGGTGTGAGATGTGGAGAAAAAGACAGAATTGTGGTATAAACTACTTGGAACCATGACACCTTTAGGTGCAAGCTCTGTAACCCACGCAGATGATTAGAGAGATGTCTTCCTCTGCAGACTGAATCACTGCAGGCGCTTCCCTAAGACAAAGGCCTCTGATATCACACTTGCCTGTGACATAAAAAGACCTTGTGATGTAGTGAATGTTCTGATTCTATCATCTGAGGGTCAGAGAAGATAAAGTTTACCACTGGGAGTCATTAGGCACCAGAACCTTGCACAGCTAGATAGAGAAATGAATGGTCTCCTCACGCGAATGAGGCTTAGACCATGTTAAGCCCCATATTTATTCTGTGGGATATTGACCATATCTTCTACATTATCTATGCCATCATCTTTATCATTATCCTACATATTTGGAGAGTAAGAAGAAGTTATCACAGATTAATCGTGGAACCTCACAAGGGCTGCTTCCGGGTAAGGAAACACCTTGAAATCCTCAATTTCTTATCATCTATACCCTCAGTTTTGTTTTAGGACCAAATTTTAAATCATCATTTACCTCTTAGATTTAGGCTCTTTGCCTATTGCACACTCTAAGAACATCTCTACCTGTGTTGGAACTGAGATCTACAAGATAGTATGTCTACTTCACTGGATCTCAGAAAAACTCCCCACTAGGGTGATTTTTCTGCTTGTTGATTCTTTAATGCTTTTTGTAAACTGAGACCTTTGGCTACTGGGATCATCCTTTAATCTTTTATTTTATCATTTTAAGAATCCACAAAACTTCTCCTGGGCATAAGGTACAAATGATGATTTATAGAAGAGTCTTGAAGAGAGTCAGAAACAAAAAAGGGGAAAGTTGGAGTGAAAATGTAAACTAGGAATTTGGAAATGGATCACAGTAATGGTTACAGGAAAGTGGCATCAGGATTGGAGGAAGTCTCATCAACAACCTGCCTTATACAGATGACACAACCTTTCTTGCTGAAACTGAGGAAGGCCTGAAGCATATGCTGCAGAACATCAAGGACAGCAGTCTACAATATGGATTGAAGCTCAAGATCAAGAAAACAAAAATTCTCGGCACTGGGTCATTATTAACAATTTTTTTGCTCCAATCCACAATCAACACTTATGGCACCAGCAGTCAGAAAATTAAAAAAACTAATTGCGTTAGGAAAATCTACTGTCAGGGACCTCTCAGAGTACTGAAGAGCAATGATGTCAGTCTAGAGACTAAAGTGTTCCTGATCCAGACCATGGTCTTTGCAATTACTTGCTATGCATCAGAGAGCTGGACAATGAACAAGGATGACAAAAGAATTGATGCCTTTGAGTTGTGGTCCTGGAGAATGGTATCAAACATACCATGGACTACCAAGAAAACAAACAGAGTTGTCCTAGAGAGAGTGACAAGCTGCTCCTTGAAGGCAAGGATTTTGAAGCTCTGTTTCACATGCTTTGGGCATGTTGTCAGAAGGGATCAGTCCTTGGAGAAGGACATCATGCTTGGAAGGGTGGGGGGACAGCACAGAAGAGGAATACCCCAGATGAGATGGATTGACAAAGTAACTGGGATAACAAGAATAGGGGTATCAGAGACAGTGAGATTGGCTTAGGGTTCAGAGCTATTGTACACAGGGTCACTATGAGTCAGAGTCCATTCAATGGCACATAACAGAAACAATAATGATTAAAAAAACAGGGTAAAAGTAATTCATGTCTTTTAAGTATGCATTTGAAAGATGGTTAAAACTGGAAAAACTTTGTTACACATTTTACCACAATCAAATGAGAAAAAAGTTGGAATAAAGAAAGGAAAAGTGAAAAATATAGAAAGAGACTGAGAAATATTTCCATTTGATCACATTTTAATATTACAAGAAAATTATGTTTGAACTTTGTTTTTTCTTTTATCTTTAAGCGACATCGAAGAGTCCGGTACAGGGCTAGAGAGAGAACAAGAAGAGGTAAAGTCTCTATTCTTATTCCTCTTCACTATGGGGGAAATAGACATAGGTCCTGACCCCTTCTAACCTATGGTGCCAGGAGCCAGGTGTTTTTATCACTGACTGTTCCATTCCACAAATGTGTATCTTTCCACAGAAACTTCCCTGGATGGGCTATTGGAACCTGGGGATATTCCAAAATCTGCTACCTTACCTCCCTAGGAATGAGAACAGAGAGGGGGGAAGTCTTAAAACTGCACTATTTACTGGGAGAAAGTCTTTAACTGTGCACTGTTTACTGGTACTTTGACCTTATCAAAGTTTTAGTCTTTTTACTAGAAAATGGGCCCAGGATTACTTTCCTGCCTCACTCACACTGTAGCTGTAGAAGCCAAATTAACTCCATTCTAGAATACACACACTATAAAAGTTGCACAAAGACATGACTTAGAGCATGAGTTGGGATTTTTCATTTCCTCTCCTTCTAAGTCAAAAGCTTCACTATTCAGCTTCCTATGGGATTCTCCTGACCCTCTCCTGTCATCTAACACTCTCTCCTGGTTTCTCAGTTAGAAGAGCTCACCAAGAAAAGGCCGAGAATCCGTGGAAACTGCTCTCTCTCATGAAAAGGTGACTTATTCTTGTCTGTCTCCCAGATCCTAGCCTGACCTGTGATAACTTCCCAACTTGAGTTGGGGTGAGGATGAAGAGAGGAATAATGGATTTGAGAGGGTTGCTAGGGTCAAGGGAAGTCTGGTACTCCAGAATGGAAATCTCCCACTCTGCTCTTGGTATTAGAGCAGCCCTAGAATTCAGGGTCCAGCTAGTACATATTGCATAAGCATGGGGTTGAACTCAGTGTTGAAATAAGCTATGTAGCTAAGGCAGTGCATTTTGTATGAAGATATTACTGTATTCTCTTTGCAGCCCTTCCAGGGAAGACCCCTCTAAGTCTAGCTAGAACTTTAAAAAATTACTTCCGGTCTGTCTTTAGGGAAGTTTCTGGGACAGATCTCAGATAATGTCCTGTTAAGCTACCCAGAAAACAGGATTGATTTACAAAAGACATTGTGTATGGCAGAAGTATAGACAACTCAAAGACCCCAGAATGCAGAGTTCTCACAAGAATTTCCTTTTCCAAAGTATGGAAACACTGAACAACAGGTTGCTTTCACAACTCAAACAAAACTGACTCTAGGTTTTATCTAGAGGCGTTCCTGATGTTGACCATTCTATCTGTATGGTTGTCTTCTAGTTTCTTGATGTCATTAAGCTGAGAACTGACTCGAACTCCCCGTTCTCTCGGAGAACCCAGCCATGAGTTGTTTTAGATTTTGACCAGTAAGATCCAAACTCTAGCTCATCCAGGCCTAACCTGCTGAATGACATTTTCTTAGGGAGAAAGGCAAAGTGGCAGACCCCCAAAGGGAGGCCCAAGACTTCCAGGCCTAGGACAGGGCAGGGCCAACCCCCCAACCCCCATCAGCAGTGATCGCTGTGTTTCCCTTCCCAGCCAGGAATGGCTTCCTCCGGAGGGGAGTGTGCGGCAGCTCCTGTGTGAAGACCCCTGCTGTCCTACCTGCAATGACGCGGCTCTGGAGATTCAGCAGCTGTTATCAAGTGAGAGCATCTTACCTCCTTCAGGAGGGCAGCCTTCCCCTTGCATAGAGATGTCTAGTAGTGTCTCTTTTGAGGTATCCATGCCCACAGTCTCTTTTGGGCAAACTCTGGAATGGCATTCCCAGCAACCCAGAGAGTGTTTAATAAGCCCTGAGGAGTCACACCTAATGGATCAAAATTCCTTAAGACAGACAGCTGCTCCGTCAACCAGTGCGATCAGCAGCCAAGATTACTGGACTGGACACCTGGATTTCGAGCAGGGGTTTCAACTGCCGGATGTGCCCAGTGACCCAGGGATTATGTCTTCCCCGATGACTACGGACTTTAGATTTCCTGTGACCCATGAAGAAATCCTAAATAATAGCAACAAATATATCCAGGAAAAGCAAGACCAGCAATATTCTAACTACCATGTGCCTTTGTTGTCCCTGGACACAGAGTTTGCAGATGTGACACATCCTCTGCAGGTGCTCCTCCCTGCTAATCTCCCATTCCTCAGTTCTGAAGTCCTCAGGCTTCTTGAGGTCCATGTTAAAAAATGGACACATTTCCAGAGATGGGGACTCCCCAGACGTGTAGAGGAATCCCTGAGGCAGCTTATGCCAAAACCTCCCTTGTTATACAAGCCTGGAGACAGCCAACCAGTTTCTTTCATCATGAATGAAACCTCTCATGCCTGTGTGGAAACAATTGAGAAGATTCCCCACTACACCGGGAGTCCGTGGGTGGGCGCCCAGCCCACTCAGGCTTTCTGGATTTCTGAATGGTCCATAACAGATCCAAAACGATGCCACAACTACCAGAAAGCTCCAGACCCTCTGGCTGTGGCTTTGCACCCTCCAGCCTTTAAAGTCCTAAGAGGCCTCAATATACAACCTGTAAAACAGGCTCAAGATTCAAGGGATTATCTGAAGAAGAAGCAGAGTCAGTTATTCTGTGGCCTCCCTTGTCTCCACAGTGAGTCCCTAGTTAACACCTTCATGGACTCACTGATCCTGTCTACAAACAGGAGCATGTCCCAGCCCTCCCTGAGCGTTCCTTTTTTCTTGAAAGAGCCCTCCTTCCTCCCTCTGCTGCCAAACCGCTCGGCCCAGTCAGCCCCACCTTCATCTCCACCTTCCCCAATATGGAAGTCCCCACTGGACCATCAGCAAACCCAAATCCATTTCCCACTTCTGACACTGGCTGAGTATGAAACCTTGGAGTGGCACTTGCTGCAGAAGCAGCTCCAGCTTCGGTGGGACTTGCCAACTGTTTTCCTGAGGTCTCAATCTGATCAGAACTCCATGCTTTTTGAATCCTATGACACAGCCCAAACTCCTGAGACTATGCAGGCTTCCTGGCTCACAAAGCCTGTCTCAGTCCTCACGAAAGAACTACTCTTCTTCCCAGACCAATCCCGAAGGCTGCTGGAGATCCACCTCCAGAAGAAGCTGATTTACTATCACTGGGGCCTGCCCCAGAAAATCAAGCAGTCCATTCAATCACTTTGGTCTCCTGCTAAGCAGCAGCCCCTGCCCTGGAGCAACATAGCTCTCCAGCCTGAAGCATCAGAGGCCAATGGGGTTAGTGACTCGATCTCATTGACCTTGGCTCCAGGGTCACTTCCTTTGTCACATTTGCTCATCCAAGCCAAAGCAATACTACAGAGCCACATCCATTCCAAATGTTGGCAGATCCGCCAGGGCAATATTCCTAACCGTGTATCTATCTCTTGGGACTGCAGAATTTCTGGAAGTTTGGCAGTGACTCCTTTGCCCTGCATCTTTAAAACCAAGTGCTTAGAGTTGCAGGCAGCAGCTGATCCTGACCTCCATCAGAAAGTCTTACCCTGGATACCAACAGGCATTAAGCAGCAGCAGGGCTCACCAGATGCTGTCGTCAAGGAAACTAAGCTGCCACAACCCCTGCCTGAAGAAGCGATTAAAAAACTAGAGGCAGCATTACAGCATAAGTATTCGGCATTCTTTTCAAGACTTCCTGCTCTCTATTATGTGGCTCTTTCTAAGACCCTGGCCCCCAAAATCCCTAATCAATCTATAATCACAGAGAAAATCTCTGAGTCTGTCCAAATCACTACAGAACCTTTGACTGAAATGATCTCATACGCAGAGCAATGCACAAGCTATGTGACTGGCTTTGAGAAATATAAGACCTCTACAGAGAGCACCCTAGAGACCACGATTCAAGAGCAAGAGAAAAAAACTGTGGAGGTGGCACCTAGAGAAGGTCCAGCAGCTACTGGTCTTCCTAATTCACTCAAAGCCACCGCCTTAAGCAAACTGAATTTCCACCTCAAAAGAAAGGTCCTAGAAATACATTTGGGAATTCCTGCAAAAGTAAGGGAGTCCCAGAAGCAAATCGCAGCCTTCTCAGAGAAAGTTTACACACGAGAGTCACTTCGGAATCTAGCCAATGAAAGTAAAAGATCTCTCCATGAACAATTAATCTCACTAAAAATTTCACAAAACTTAGATCCAAAGTGGATTCACCTGAAAGGACAGCTAGTTGCTGAGTTAAAGGGCTTACTGAAGAGCCAGACGCAAGCTGCTTTCAAAAGAGCTCCTGGTTCTGCCCAGTGGGTTTCCAAGATCTCACAGCGCATCAGGGACCAGATAGGTGCTCAGGTGCTTTGTGCTCGGGCAGAAATCAGAGGAAATAGCCCCAGTCTGGAAGAGACATGGTATCACAAGTCCCAAAGCCTTCACAAGAGCAAAGATGCTACCCAAGTGTCCATGCTGGCCAAGAGCAAAGAGCCCCCAGGGAAATTCAAACCAGCAGTGGACCATGGAGAAGGAGATGCAGGGTTTGGGTTCCCCTCAGCTAAAGAAAACAGAGGCTCGGCTAAAGACCAGAGACCAGCGAGGACACGTTTAGATGAGATGTCCCAAGGTCCCTGGCAAAGGTTTCATAGCCTTGACCTTGTTACCACTTGTCAGCAGAATCTGCAGCCCTGCCGTCACCTTAAGCTTCCAGAGCTCCTTTCAGGAGTCCTTGCGGGGAAAGAATACAAAAAGAACAATGTGAAAGGTAGTCAGGACAAGGTGAATATCTTTTTAGAACCAGGCAAGGTTCTTGGGACGGCCCTGCCTGTGGTGTCCCAGGCTTCTCAGAACCAGCCTCTGTCAGACCCACTAATGGAGGGTTACTCTTTGAATAGCCAAACTTTGAGGAATGAGCTGGGTCAGATGAAGTCAGGCCATACTTACAAGAACTTCTCCCTTTCAGAATATACCTTAAATAAAATGAAACATGCCCTGAACGACATTAAACCCAATCCAAACTGCAAAGTAGATAAAAACCCTAAACATTCTCTGACAGAGAAAGTGACCAAAACAAGGAAAAGAAATGCTGAGAAGCCGAATGCAGACCCAGCCAAAGGTCCTGTGGGGAGAACTAAGACAGAAAAGACAACAGCTTATCTCAAAACCCAATCATTTGCCTCTGAGAAGCATGTGGGCCTGATCTTGAAGGGCCCACAGGCCCCAGAAAATCAGCTCCGATACCGCTTTCATCAAGTCCACTCTGCCTCAGTCCTGGGCCACCCCCACTACTGTCCTAGGCACTGCCCTTACATGGCTTATGCCACCCACCCAGGGATCTCACCCTAGTCATAACCCTCACCTCAGAAGGAAATATTGGTTTTTTCAAAGACAAGACTGAATATATTCAAAGAGAATTTACAACCTCTCAAACCTCTCTGCATCCTTGAGGAGAACCCATATTGTCCTTTTCATTAAGGTGCAGGTCGGACAGAGTGCCACTTCCAAATATAATTTTATGCAAAGAGTTGTCGGCTGCTCTTTTTTTGGTATCCACTACAGTGCAATTAACTAACTCTGAAAACCCACCACAGGGCCAGCTATGAGTTGGTTCAGACTTGATGGCACACAACAACATAACGCATTAATGGAATACACGAGGGAGATTTAACAATCCTTTCTATCTAGGGCAAATGCTTAACACTTCAGTTGGGCTAGCATTCCAAATTAGGGAGCTCTGGTGGCCTACACTGTAGGGAGTTGCACTATTAATCCAAAGATGGTACTTCTTTGGCAGTTCAAAACCACCTGCATCTTCTTGGGGGTAATCTTCTCCTGTGCAATTTATAGCCTCTGAAAACCTGCTGGAGGATCAGTTCTAACTCAACCACAGTGAATTTGAGTCTTATGAGCATTCCAAACAACAACTCCCACCTCTAGACTGAACTAGATAAAGGGACTTGGGTATAAATGATAAGGCTTTTAAGTTGTGTTCAGGGTAGTGGTCAGGCGGAGATTCAATCATAGCTTCCCACAGTGACTTTAGACGGCCCCAAGGAGCAATGTGATAGCACTGAACAGGAAGTTGTTGTTGTGTGAGTCAAGACCAACCCATAGCTGACCCTCCCCATGGTTTTCAGAGGCAGTAATTTGCACAGGAAGAGATTGCCATCATTCTCCCATGGAGCAGCTGGTACATTTGAACTGCATACCTTCAGGTTGGCAGTGCAACTCTTTACCCCTTGGCCACTTGGGAAATCAGTGCATTCTTGACCCACCTATACCCAACAGGAGACAGATTTTTAGGGGGGTGCCAGAGTGCTCTGTCTTTGAAGAGATGCTTTTTTTTATTTGCAAAAGCAGTAAGTTGATAGACATCCAAACCAAAACATATAGACTTTCTCCCCTCTCTGCTCCCTGATGATTTTAATAAGATCTTTCAGAGAAGCCACCAGCTATGACCTTGCCACTTCCATGTCCACTCAGCTATGTGGAAGAATGAAGATCAGTGTAGAAGGCGGAGTGGTGTTTGTCTCCCAACCCCAAGGAGAGGCAGGAAATGAGGAAGGGAGAGAGAGAACCCATATAAAGGTATAAAGACTTGGGGACAGCGTGTGCTTTTCCTGACCAGGGTGTAATAAGGAAGAAAAGCTGGCATTCTCTGCATTAAGCAGGAGGGGAGTGAAATTTCAGAGCCAGGAAATCAACCTAAGGCCCAAGTACTTGAGAAGAAGGGAGATGAATAAACACTGAGGTTCAGTTGGCTTTCAGATATCGTAATGTGAGCTGTCAACTTAGCACTGACGTTTCTGGGAAGAACCATGGAAAACAGGAGCTTTCTAGACCTATCCCAGCCCGCCACTCCCGTTACTGCCGGGATCCTGGCCCTTGCCTTGCTGCTGTGTCTCGTTTCCACATTACCACCTATATTAGAGTCCTCTACTATCCTCCTTTAGTCCTGCTTTCCTGAACATACCTCTATGATAAGCAAAAACTGTGGGCCCTATTCATCCATAGCCCTTCCCCGGATCTGTCTGTCTTTCAGAGAATGACTCCTGACTTGTACCCCACCACAGACTACACCAGATCACCTTCAAAAACCCAGCCTACTCCATCCAGTCAGTTACAACCTCTCATCAGATTTCTGAAGCTGTGACTATTTAAAGGAGAAGATGGTCTGTGTTCTCCTACAGAGTGGCTAGTGGATTAAAAATATTCATCTCTCAGTCAGCACCCCAACATGTTACATTGGGCCACAGGGGCACCAACTTCCTAACACCTATAAACGCATGGCTGTTGAGTCAATTCCAATACATAGTGACCTTATAGGACACAGTAGAACTAACTGCCCCTTAAGATTTTGTTGTGTTTTTAAAAATAAGATTTTTATTTTATACTGTTTTACTTACAAAGTTTGTATACATTATTTTTCACACCAGATTCCATTTCCTTTTCTCACTCATCCCTCCACTCATCAAATTGTGTGACCCTCTGATTAATCCTCCCTTCTACTCCCCACCCATCCTCACCCCTCGGCTCACATCCTCGCCCCCCTTGGATCGTTGTATATGTTCTACAATAATGGTCTTATAGAGTATTTGTCCATAAAAGACTGAGTTAGTTCACTTACCATAATGATTTCCAGTCTCTCCCAAATTAGGTAGTAATTTGCAAAATCATTGCTCCTAGGAGCTGTGTAGTATTCCATTGTGTGAATGTATCATAATTTCTCAACCCATTCAACTGTGGTTGGACATTTGGGCTGTTTCCATGTTCTTGCGATGGTGAATAACGCTGCTATGAATATTGGTGTACAAGTCTCCGTTTGTGCCTCATTTCTCTCTCTCTTTTTTTTTAGTATATTCTAAGCAGTGGAATAGCTGAGTCATATGGAATTTCTATGTTCAACTTTGTGAGAACACGCCAAATTGCCTTCCAGAGTGGTGGTACCTCTTTTTAAAATCCCATAACAATGTACAAGAGTTCCTATCTCACCAAATCCTCTCCAACTTTTATCTCCGTAAGGTTTTGAGGCTTTACATCTTTACAGGAGGAGACTGCTACATAGTTCTCCCAAGGATTCAAATGACTGACCTTTTGTTTAGTAGATATATGTTTTAACCACTGTGCCATGAAAGCTTACCTCTCCTAGTGCCAACCTCTTTGCTTTAAGCTATTTTCTGCTTTCGTCTTTATTTATTTCACCTCATTTGGGGGGGGGGGGAGCACCAAAACCACTTACCTTGACTGTAAAAAGGAGGTTTTTAGAATGTGTCCTGCCAGCTACCCAGCAAGTGGCCAGGAATCTAAACTGTACTTTGATACAACTGGCTCAGCTGCTCAAAACCAAGATGGACCTTTCTGCCTCCCTCCAATAATTTACTGTTTATTTCACGGAAATAAGTTTATTATTAATAGAAATCCTTGAAGTGAAATGGAGAAATCTTATGAGGGAAGCTGAGATCTAGAAGAAGTTCCCAGGAAATAGAAATCCTCCTAACTAAATCCTATGACACTTTCTCTCACATCCAAATTAAATCACGTTCTTCCTCTGTTCATAGGAGGCCTCTTGGTTTACTACACTAAACTCCTCAAATTCTTTCCTGTATTCTGCTTAGGCCAGTCTTCACCCCTTCCCCCAGTGCCACCACCAGCGGTAAACCACTGTGAGAGGCAGTCTCAGTGGTCCCAGCCAGAATCTGACTTCTTACTGGTGAACATCATATGCTCTTGCACTCCTAAGGAGACCTAAGCTGACCTTGTACTTGCTTCTCCTGCTGCCTTGACTGGGGCAGGAGTGTGGGCCCTTGGATCTATTAAGGAGGCCAGGGTAGTAAATCAGCACAGTGTTGTGCTTGCCCCATTAAATAGGAGGTTAGGTCTGGGTAAAAGAATTGGCTCATCCTCTCCTTGGAAGAAAACTTTTGGCAGGAGGAGCTAGAGAATGATTTTGGGACAAAATAATACACAGAGGCACAGGGAAGCAAAATCATAATTCAAGGAAAACATTGCAAAAACACTTGAGCAAGTGTTTTTATCATTTTCAGGCCAAACGTCTGACCCTTGGGGAAGATGCAAGTTTTAAGGGCTAATTGCAAGGATGGAATGTGAAATAAGATCATTGAGGTTAGAATCCTAGTTTTGCCATTTGACAGGTTAACGTTACTAAATCCTAGTTTCTTCATCTGGGAAATGGAGCTATTCTCTTACACATATACAAAAGGTCAATTGCTACTAAAGTATTCATGATTCCCAAAGCCATTTCTCTTAGTCTTCTCCCTGACAACCACATTGCTGTTCCATTGGTTCAAATTCATAGTTATCCTATAGGACCAAGGAAAACTGCCCCCCAACAGTTCCAAGCTGTAAACCTTTACAGAAGCAGCCTTCAACATCTTTCTCCTGCCAAGTGGATGATGGATTTGAACTGCTGACCTTCCCACTAGTGACTGAATACTTTAACCATTGCACCACTGGTGCACCTGTACAACCATAATTCCATCTTGTTTCAAAGATACCACAGGTTCATTTTTAAATCTCCATACACTTTCTTTCTATCCCACCAAACTATTTTCTAAGCTCAGGGAGTGGTGTCACTGTCCACCTCCTTTCTTGTTCAGCCTATACATCAAGTTGTCTAATCTTGATAATGCTCAATTTGGGCCCCCTCCTTCTACTCTTGCAGTCTTGGTGTGCAGTCCAGTTTCTCATCTTTTCTTGCCTGAATTGTTACAGTAATTTTCCTGTTCAGAACCTGGACATTGTTACTGGCACATGGTAATACTGCAATAATAGTTTATTATTAATAGTCTGGGATCTGGAGACAGAGAAATCATTACATCAGTGTGATGAGTGTTATGGAATATGGAAACCTGTTGAGGAAGCATTCAGATAAGAAGGTAAGGAGAACCCTAGAAGGGTCACAAATAAAATTACCTTAGCTAAGTTTGGGGTTTTTTTTAATTTTATTTTATGTGTGTGTGTGTGTGTGTGTGTACTGTCAAATTGGATCTGATTGGTACAGGAGGAGATTGCCCCTCCTTCTTCAACAGAGCATCTGATCTTAGCTAGATTTTATATTCAATAATGTTCCAAGTACTATGCAAGACATAGCAGTCCAGATAAGGGCCTTAGCCCTTGAAGTTTATAATCTCATGGGGTAGACAGTCTCTTGTTCCCAGTTGTCTAATCAGTATTTACCATTGGTCTCCAATATTCATCTCCAACTGTACAAAAAGTACTGATTGCCCACCTCACCCCTAATAGTCAATTTGGAATACTAAACTTGTTCCAAATGTGTTATTCATCAGTTAAGGGTATCTTTATCCTTTCTGTTTTTCAGGCTGAAA